CTTTGCTACTGGTACATGTAAATACCAACATGGCACTGCCAAAGTTCATTATGTTCATAATGTAGTTATGTTCATAATGTAGTCTTTTACAATTTTAATTTTTCTTTGGGATCATAGGCACTGTTTGGGATGGGTGGGTGGGGATTGTGTTAAAAAACATTGTTGATTTAATTATTTCTCTAAATTGTTTTGTGTGTGAGAAAAATTATAATCATGCATTTTCTGTATAAATTTACTAACTTAGGGAATAAAGTGACACTTGATTTTTAAGGGAACATACCAGAAAGAAAGTAAATAAATACATGAGAGTGACAACTATTAAGCAAAGATATTAAATTTGGAAAAATAAAACTAATTTGTATGTGTTATTTGTGATTTATTAATGAGTGATATCAATATTTTAAAATTTAAACAAAGTATTACATATTTTCACAATAAAATGCCGCGAATTTAAAGCTTTGAAAATTGTTTTCACGCGCAAAACCCCCTATGGGAATTTTCAAAAGTTGGCATGTATGATCTTGAATTTTAGAAAGTTTTATAACAAAGTGTTGCCTTATATGTAGTTTTAACAAAACAGTTTACAATCTTTCGAGTAGTCATGATTATTATTACTACTTTTTGCTATTACAATTATAACAGGTCTGTGAGTGGCAGCCAATGCTGAATAGTAATACCTCTAATCTGGTGTGAATACAGTACACAGGGAAATTTTAGTCCCTGTTTTATTTTCGCTCCTTTCGCACTATTCTCCTTTGGGCGAATTTAAAACGGTATTCAAAAAATACAATTTCATTTCTCAAGTTAGATGATTCTAAGTCTAATAGTTATCTAATTTTTAGTTGGAAAGGATTTTTTCAATATTTGAGGACTTCCGGTGTGGCGACGCACATGGCGTAAAGCGGGAACGAGGGCTGAGGGTCTTATCGTAAAGGTTTAGTGTGTGGGCCGTGGTATATTGAATGTAATGTGCTCTAGTCGAGTCCCCAAGTAGGTGTGGTTTGCGTTTGTGCAAGATTCAGGGTTGCTGCATATCACTGGATGCTACGGGCGGAGGGACCATACTTTTCTTCGAGGAAATTCGGAAAGTTCAGGAAAAAAGATGCCACGTACAGGAAATAAGGAGAAAGAAAAAGAAAAAGACAGTGCACAAGGTGACGAAGTGTCAAATAAAGACCTAAGAGACATATTTTCGAGTCTCATACAAAAATTAGAAAACTCAATGAGTGAGAGGCTCGCTACGTTAGAGAAGAAGCTAGAGGAAACGCGGACTACTGTCAAGGAGGAAATTATAGAAATGAAGGTAGCTTTGCAGAACCAGGATGACCGTCTAACGGAACTGGAAAAGATTGACAAAGAGATTGTACAACCGCAGAGTGAAAGGGTAAGCCAATTAGAGACATCTCTACGACAGTTGCAAGATCATATCACTTATTTAGAGGCACGATCAAGAAAATACAATCTACTGTTCTACGGCATTGCGAGAGTCGAGAATGAAGATGTGTCGGCTGTCATTCTGAACTTTCTCCGTCAAAAATTAGGCATGCTGTCAGTAGACGATATTCTGATTCAAAACTGTCATAGAATACCAAAAAATCCAAATAATAATTACAACAAACCTGGAGCTCCAGATGCAATCATTGCAAAACTCGTTCGGATGGAAGACCGGAACCAGATATTGATCCACGCCAAGAACGCTACCTTACCACAAGGGTATGCAGTAAGGACGGATTTGCCGGGTCACCTGAAGAAGAAGAGAGGGAAATTGGCACAGAAAGCATACGAGCTAAGGAAAGATGGAATGAAGACGAGGATCCGGGAAGTCAAAGATGACGTCATTCTCGAATATAGAAGAAAAGACGAAAAAGAATGGATTAAATTCTGTGATCCGGAGTAGTTTTAAGAAGTTTTTTCTCTTCTGCAGATTAACGTTATTGGACTTATGGTGAAGGTGTTTGAATGTTATAACCTTTAAAGTGCTTTCAAGTGCTTACTTGTTTAGTTTATACTCGTACAAAAACAAATATAATTTAAAGGTATAGAAAGAAAGATGTACAATACTTTTTTAAACAAATGAAAACTTGATGTAATCAAATGGCTCACAATCTGTTTTTGATAATGTGACCAAGTTTAATTGATAAGATAAGACCCAATGCAGTCTACAACATTTTTTTTTCCCTCTGTAACTGTTCTATTACCATACAGGAAGTATTTTTCATTTTTGATTTATGTGTGAAAGAAATGAGAGTATGCAGCATGTATATGTTTTTATCTTTTTTCAACTTAACAATATAGATGTATTATGACTAAGTTCAATATTACTTCTGTAAACTGCAGAGGCTTACATGATTCCGCAAAAAGAAAAGATGTATTTAACTATTTAAGAAATTTAAAATCATCTATATATTGTTTACAAGACACCCATTGTACAGAATCAGAGAAAAAATCAGTTTATGCTCAATGGGGAAATGACATACTTATCAGCTCAGGAAAATCAGATGCAAGGGGGACTTTAACGCTTTTTAATAACAAAAATGAAATTAAAATTTCTAAAGTTTATAGTGACAGTGAAGGAAATTTTATCATATCAAATATAATGGTGGATAACAAATACTCAATCACCTTGGTAAATATATATGGTCTAAACAAAGATAATCCTAAATTTTATTCAGAAATTAGTGATAAAGTGGAAGAACTATTTGACACTGACTTTATAATCATGTGTGGGGACTGGAATGTAGTACAGGATTACCAGTTAGACTGTTATAACTATGTTAGGGAAAATAATCCAAAGAACAAACTTGAAATTGAAAAGTTAAAAACTAAATTTAACTTAGTAGATCCTTGGAGGATTAAAAACCCAGATGAAAAAAAATATACATGGAGTAGAAAGAACCCAGTTAAACAGGCTAGACTTGACTACTTTTTAGTGTCAGAGGAACTCTTATCAATTGTAAGTGACGTTAATATAAAGCCAGGCTATAGGACTGATCACTCTATCATTGAATTAGATATCACTATTAATGAGTTTAAACGTGGAAAAGGATTCTGGCGCTTTAACAACTCCTTATTGAGAAACAAAGAATTTGTACAAAATGTTAAAAAAATTATCAAAGAAACAGATGATGAATACCGTATTGATGAATCAACCTTAGAAATTTCAGAAAATCTTTTTCTTGATGTACTACTGATGAAAATAAGGGAAATGGCAATACAAATGTCTGCAAAACTAACTAGAGAAAGGAAAGATCACAAATTGAAAATTGAAAATCAATTAAAAATTTTACATGATATGTATGCAAAAAACCATTTGTCAATTTATCTAGATATGATAAATGATCTTGAGACAGATTTAGAGGAGATTAGAAAATATGAATTAAAAGGGCTTTTACTAAGAAGTCATTGTAAATGGATAGAAGATGGAGAGAAACCTACTAAATATTTTTGTGCCCTGAAAAAAGAAATTATGTCAATAAGAATATCAACAATTTAATCAATGATGATGGTAAATATGTAAACAAACAACAAGAGATCTTGGAAGAAGTAAGAAAATTTTATAAAAAACTATATGAAAATAAAGATCATGAGCTAGATGATGTTAATCTTGAGGATTTACTTCAAAAGTATGATGTTCCCAAAATTAATAATGATATAAAAAGTTCTATAGATGTGGAAATTACAATACAGGAAGTATTTCAAGCTCTTAAAAACTTTAAAAATGACAAAACGCCTGGGACCGATGGTTTTACAGCAGAATTTTTCAAGTTTTTTTGGACAGATATTAATTCATATATCCTTAAATCCTTTAATTATAGTTACAAAGCAGGTCAGCTGTCCTATACGCAGACACTTGGAATAATTTCTATTCTCCCTAAAGGCAACAAGTCAAGGGAACACTTAAAAAATTGGAGACCAATTACATTACTGAACATTACATATAAACTTCTATCTAGTGTTTTAGCAAACCGAATAAAACTAACCCTGTCAAAAATAATACATGAAAATCAAAAAGGGTTTCTTGCTGGTAGATATATTGGTGAAAACTCAAGGCTATTATATGATGTTATTCACTATTGTAAAGAAAATGCTCACCCAGGTCAGATCCTCTTAATTGATTTTGAAAAAGCATTCGATTCTATATCTTGGAGATTCATTTACAAAGTACTCAGATTCTTTAATTTTGGTGAAAATTTTTTAAAATGGATAAAGATTTTACTTAATGAGCCGAAGTTATGCGTTATCCAAAATGGTTTTTTTTCAAATTTTTTCCAAATGGGACGAGGTTGTAGGCAAGGCGATCCTATTTCACCATATTTGTTTTTACTATGTGCAGAAATAATGGGAATTATGATTAGAAATAATAAATTGATAAAGGGCATTGTTATTGAAGATAAGGAATATAAACTATTACAATATGCTGATGATACAGTTTTATTGATGGATGGCTCAGAGGAATCTATCAAATCAACCTTATCCTTAGTTAATCAGTACTCCAAATTCTCTGGATTGAAACCAAATTATGATAAAACACAATGTATTAAGATTGGGTCAACTGTTCATAATGATGACAACTTATGTGATAAATATCCAAACTTAATGTGGTCACAAGAGCCATTTACAGTGCTAGGTATAACATACTGTGTAGATTTAGATCTAGATGCTATGTTTGCTTTGAATTTTTTTCCAAAGATTGACACTGTCAAAAAACTTGTAGCATCATGGTCTAGAAGATGTTTATCAACGGCTGGTCGTATTACTGTTGTAAAAACCTTGCTTTTACCTAAATTCAGTCACCTATTGATTACTTTACCTAGCCCATCTAAAGAAAAACTAAAGGAGATTGAAGATATATTCTTTAATTATATTTGGAATTTTAAAACAGCTAGGGTGGCGAAAAATACCATAAGTCAAAGTTTTAAAAATGGTGGTATGAGAATGACATGTCTTGATTCCTTTTGTAAAAGCTTAAAAATCACATGGATTCGCAGGCTACTTGATGGTTATTGTATATCAGCCTGGAAAGAATTACTAAAGGATTTAAATCCAGATCTTAAATACTTGAATATATATGGGAGTGATTTTTTAAAAAAACTTAAGAAAGATACAAAAAATGTTTTTTGGAAAGATGTTTTTTCAGCATTGTTAGAGTTAAGGTTAAGTACTGATGATCAAATATCTGTTTTATGTCCTATATGGTATAACCAATCTATATGTATTAACAAAAAAAGTATTTGTTATAAGTCATGGCTGAGAAAAGGCATACAATTTATTTTTGATTTTTATGATACAAATGGTACCTTGTTGGATTATCAAGAATTTTGTAAGTTATATGATTTAAAAGTACCATTTACCATGTTTTTTGGAATACTGAGTTGTATAAAAAAAATTACAGTTGAATTATGATCAAATGACAATTCAAAGAAACCAACCTTTTTTCCCAAAATTCCTACAAGTAATTATAAAAAGCAAGAAAGGTGCAAAAGATTTCTATGATATTCTTGTTAGTCAGAAATACAAAAAGCCAAAGAGTGAAATTAAATGGGAGAATATTTTGGATTTAAATGTTGATGAGCTTTGGTGGAAAAAACAAAATATTTTGTTCTTTAATGTAACAAATGATATACAGCTTAGATGGTTCCACTATAGAATTGTACATAGAATTTTAGCCACAAATACATTTTTATACAAAATTGGTGTTACTGACTCGCACTTATGTAGCTTTTGTAAAACGCATCCAGAGACATTGTGCCACCTATTTTGGGAATGTGAGTTTGTTATAGAAATTTGGGAAAACGTTTTGAATTGGATGTTAGAAAAGTTTGGACTTGATATAAATCTAAATAAGGTCGATGTTCTGTTGGGAAAATATTACAAATATAACAATATATTTAATCTAGTAATTTGTATAATTAAAAAGTATATCTATAGAACCAAACTAAGGAAAAATAAATTATCTTTTGAGAGAGTCAAACAAGAAATTGTATACTACTATAATTGTGAGAAATATATTTATAAGAAAAATGGAGATATGGACAGCTTCAAAAAACGATGGAATGCGATAACAGAACTGCAGTTTTCAGATGTGTATTTTTTCTATTTACAATATCTTTGCTAGATACTGATATAGACATATGCATGCCGTTGTGGTGAATGATGAGTGAATGGATTAACAAAAAAAAAAAATTGTCCTATCATAAGATAAGCTTGTGTTGTAACCATGTAAGCATAGTGAATCCAGGGCCCCAACCCTGGCACTAAGCATTGTAATTTAATATATGATGGGATAATAAAAAAAAAAAAAAAAAAAAAATATTTGGGTATAATTTTCTAAGTAAAGGTAAGAGCAACGTACTTTTCATGTGTGACACTTCTTTTTTACAAGATTGATCAGCTAACAAAGTTTAATAATCCTATGCCAAATTGTATTTTAAAATAATTGATTTATTTTCCCAATTATTCACTTTTTATAATTATGACTAGGGCAATACAAATTTTCTTAAATGACATGAATCACAATGGTTGTGCCCAAGATTGAACATGCATCATGGTTTTTTTAAATTGGTTGAAAAATTTTTTTTTCATCTTCATATATAAATATTTATCTTTACCTCATTTCAAGTCAACTTTTGATTACAATGTTAACTTTTGATTAAAATAATGAGTTAATTTGTGAAATTTACCTTCTGAAAAGCTTGCAAGGCCTTTATTTCGACAATGGTTAGAATTTTGTTCTCTGGTTGCTCGTATCTAAAATCCAGTTGACGGGAAGCAACAGATATTCTAGTGGCTGACGTAACTTTAAGGTCATATAAACCTGGCTTTCTTGTACTGATTGATTTGTCCACTTTTGCAAGACAAACTGGACTCCTAAAAGAAAAGTTGGTACTATAAATAACTTTACGTTTAGTGTAGAAACTACATGTAGTGCTTTACTTAGAAATACATGAAAACTGTTTTAAATGTCAACATAATACCAATTAGTTTTGTAAGTATAAAATATTTGAAATATATCTATAATTTAAATTGTGCTTAAGCAATATTCTAGAAAAGTAAACAAATTTCACTCAATTATGAGAAGTTTCTAAGTATTTGAGGCCTAAATAAAAATTATGTTTGTTTCCTGTAACCCGACTGACAGATTCAAATTACTCCTGGGCAGGATTTTTTTTTCCTGCCAAGTTGCAAAACTGCAATTTTATTTTTATCAATCAGCTGATTCCATTTATTAAAAAAAAAATGTCAATTGTAGTTTTTCTTGAGACATAAAATATGTCAAAACAGTTATCATAATAGTTTTTGATAGACCTGAATTAACAAGAGTTAAAATGGAGGTCTAAGTTAGGCCAAAATTAAAAATAGTCCTGTTTCCTGCTACCCATCCTACCCTATTTTTTGCACCCAACCCTGAAGTTTTTTTTATCTTTTGGGGAAAAAATTGTAAATTTTAGAAATGTTATGTTTCAAAAGTGAAAAAATTATATATTCTCAAGTTGTATTTCATGAAATATATGTTTAAAATATGGACTTTCATAAAATTCCACTTGAGACATGGAATTTCACTTGGAAAGATGATATTAACCTTAGCTATATAAGCTATGACATGTTCAATTGGTTTTGTAGTAGTTCATATATCCAAAAAGTACTGTTCGAAAAAATACAATAAAATAAAATAATTGCCCTCCTACCCTATTTTTTTCTGACTGGTAGCAGGAAACAAGACTATTATTTTTTTTTGGCCGTATACATTCAGAACTCTCTGGATTGTTTGTAGTAAATGGACTGAGTACAAGTTATTGCCTGTGTGTGTTTTGCTACATTACAAATACATGGAATATTCTATTGTCAAACTGGATTGTAGACTGCTTTCATATTTTTTTAAGAGAGATTTTCCCATAAATTTGAATAGAGTAAACAGAGAAAAAATCGGTAGGGGTAGGTGGTTACAGTCTACTAATTTTCCCCCTAGTTCACTGACCACACAAGTAGTTCCAGTTTAACAAGAGCTGTTTGTAAAACACTTATGCGCCCCTCCCCCACAAATTGGAATTTTTCTAAGTCCAAAAGGGCACAAGTTGATAACTCGATCTTTCTACTTCTAAAGAGGCCTATAAAAGCGGTTCAAATTAATGCTAACCCACTCACAAAATGGGAGTAAAATTTGGTGTGAAGCCATAAAATTAATAACTTGCTCGCTTGTTGAATCAAAATTGCATAGGGGGCCTAATTCATTGTCCGTCCTCTTACTGAGAAACAGACATTTTCTGGTTTTGCTGGTTTTTTATTTAAAACCACAAAGAAATGAAATAAATCATAGCAGCAAGTTCCTATTGTTTGTAAATATCCTTCATGTTATCCATTTAAGAGTGCTAAATGATTTGTGAAATCCCTAAAATGATAGTCTTTTTTTCCTCATCCGAATGTCCTCCGTTCCTCTGTACATGGTTGATACGTGAGAGATATACAATTTTAATTAATCCCAACTACATAAACATAGTCATATGAATAGAAAGTGTTTTTACTCATTTCAAATGAGATGTTACATGTAGTTAAAATATATTAACCTAGAAAATCTATTTATGTGTCATTGTTACTTCATCAGTTGAACATGAACAAGCAAATAATACATGTACATAACAAGGTGTACATAAAGGGGGTTACATATATTACCATGTTAAAAAAAAAAATAGAAAAGTGTTGATTGAATTCAATTTTCATTCCTTTGATTAAATATTTTAATTATATATTTGATTTTTATAAAGTAAGAACTCCAATTTTGAAGAAATGTATTTGACTGTACATATTTTTTATTTGTATCAACCTTTGTCCCAGTGTCTATTAAGTTTTTTTTTAAATCACAGACTGTGGGTAACAAAGAAGAAAGTTCTCATTGGTTCATTTTTGGCCCTGTGAATTTCTGATAAATAAGAACTACTCAGTTTTTGTTAAAAATATGTTATATTTCACTTGTACCCTTGGTGACTTCATCAGATCCAGGAAAATCACTATTTTTAGCTATATAGGTATATCTACCTATTTAGCTTTATTTACCTATAAAATATAGCTATATTTAGCTATTAGGGAATAAGTTTCTGTTTTAGGGGACGACCATTTGATCCTGAGGGGGGGGGGGGGGGCTGGCAATTTTTTTTGAGCCAGATTATTTATTTTCATGCATGTCGAGGACAGATTATTTATTTTCAAGATTATCAAGGACAGATTATTTATTTTCTTCTGTCTTCCCGTACCGTGATCAATTCTAAAGACTAATCATTTATATAACATAGGCAGATACAGAATTTGGGGAGGGGCATGTATAACTTCGTTTAGGTAAGAGGTCTGGGGTCGCCGTAAGGCCCCCAGTTCCTGGGCGAAGCCTCGGTGGTGGCCAAGGGAGTAACACCCTCCCACCCTGAAGCTCTTGGGTTTTTCTGTATTTTAAGAGTAAAACTAGGCACAAAAATATTGGTATTGTCCCAAAGTATGGCATTATTATTATTATTATTTGTATCATACTTTGAAATTTTAGGATAGGGGTTGTACACATGTACGTCCCACTTAAATCCACCAGTGTATATATATATATTAATTTATCGGGGAAGTGTAATTCTTCAACAAGAAAATTTATCTTTTGTGGTGTATAAGAATTGGCTTGTATTTAAAGTACTGTTATTCATCACACCTACTAAGTGCACATTGTCATGTTGACAAACTGACACAAGTATCCAGTCTGGTAATCTGATTTTGAATACTGTTTGGTTCTAAAATGGTGAGCGAAGCGATCCAAAAAAAATTTTTGGAATTGAAGACTTTTGAGATAAAAATACACATAAATAAAAAGGGTATTTTTCACAATATTTAAATATCATAAGTCAAGGTCAGATTATTTATTTTCTCTGTAGTAGAGTAAAGATTATTTATTTTCAATATTTTCAGGGACAGATTATTTATTTCCAAAATCTGCCAGCCCCCCCCCCCCCCTTCAGAATCAAATGGTCGTCCCCTTATGAAAGGCAGACAAAAATCGCATGTAAATTATGGCTGATATATTTTTTAAAAGGATTGATAAAAACAACCTAGGGCATAAATAGTAAAAACATTGCCTCTTATAAACACTTTTTAACCAAAAAATGCATCTCTATTGTTTGGATAGCAGGAAGTGCGGTGAGGCATGACTAAGTGTGATTGCCTTGCATTGTGCTGAATTATTACCAATCAATTATCTTGTTGACCAAAACTGCTTTTCTTTGTTAAAATAGCTGCTTACTCACAGATTAACTGTTACACATAGCCCAAAAACTTTTAGATCTTTGATTGCAATTGCACAAAAGGAGAAACATTTTTATAAGTGGGTTTTTGATGAATTGTTTTCAGTCCATTTCAAAGATGAAAACTAATACTGACTCATTATGCGACTTTTTGTCTGCTTTTCATAAAACAGAAACTTATTCCCAAATAGCTAAATATAGCTATATTTTATAGGTAAATAAAGCTATATAGGTAGATATACCTATATAGCTAAATATAGTGATTTTCCTGGACCTGTTCATATCAAATAAAAATGACGTAATTTTTTCTCTTGTTTATGAATTATGACGTCATGAATTTCGTCATTTTCCTCAAATCTTGTAAATTTCATTAAAAATGCCCCTAAATTGAAGCTGACTTTTAATATTTTGCATAGCCCCCAACCTCTGATCTAAAATATTGAATTATAAAATGAAAGAACTGTTTCAGAAGATTCAAATCCATGAAAGAATTTTTGGATCGCAGGGTGGGCTCATATTTTTATCAAAAGTTGAAGATTCTCAATTTCACCCATTTTCTTCAAAAATCAAGAATATTGCAGTTTCACAACGCTTGAGTTTCCAAACTTGGACTCTCAGAGGAAAGTTTTTTATAGGAAATGAAAGCACTAAGTCTCTACTTTGTGTTGATGATCGAAATAGGATTTAAGGAATTGGTTGTTTAATTAGTATACTGACAGGGCCGTTTTATGGAGCACGTGAATCTACCTCTTTAGCAGTGGAGTGGAATGCTAAATCTGAAATATGAGGAACCCACATGGTTCGTGGAAATTTCAGTTAATTTTAAACCCTGCATATTTACTGATCTTTGCCAACCAAGGGTTTTCGGTCTGCAGCGCTTCCCATAATGCGAAAATGATATTTACCCTTTCCTCTAAGACTTCAAGAGAAAGTGAAAAAGTAGGGGTTATTTATTTGCTATGCCATAACAGAACTTGCAAATTGCAGACAAAGTGATAATTTTTGGACTTGTCCAAGTTGAGTTGGTGTTACTCAGTACCATGTTGCAGGTAAAGTTGAGCTGGTGTAATTTTTATGAATGATTCTTTCTATTATAAAGGAATGTATAGCAAAATAATCGGTTGTCTATGTCCAGGTTATCATTCATTGGCTTTAATATGGTGACCGAAGGGAAGCACGAAGTAACTGTTTCTGAATAGATAGTTTTCATTAGACCCACATAAACAGGAGTTACTTCCCTTTGGCCGCCATCTTGTTGGTCAACCTGGTAATTTTCCCTCTTTGTCCTACCAAATATAAGAGGGTGTAGCAGAAATATTTGGGGGGAAATCTTTGTGGAATAAAAATTATGAAATAAAAGAGGCTCTAACAAATGTATATTTTAAAGAAAAACAATGCTTACCACCCCACAATTACCAGTATAAAAAGTTTAAATTGGTTGAATAATGAAGGAATATGAGCATGTTGACCCCCAATATGGCGGCCAACGGGAAATAACTCTTGTTAATTTGGGTCTAGTGAAAACTATCTATTCACGCCTATCGGAATATACCATACCATACTATACCATAAACAAAACTCAAAGCCGATTGAAAAACGTTGAGAAATATGAAGTGCAACAAAATTAGCCGTTAAAAACAAAATTATTGAAAATAACATGCTTACTTGGATTTCTGCATTTCTGTCATCATTACGTTGTATTCTGGAACAAAACACACCATGTCACTGTATTTTTCATGGTCTTGAAAGATGGCATTGAAATACTTGTTGTTGTTCCTAGATAATTTTATGGGGGTAACACTGTGTATGTAACCTACAATTTCCCCCGAAGGTTCCTCGTCAAGCTTTGGTTTTTTTGGTGCGGACATTTTGGCGGCAATGTAAGCGTCTGTAGGAAGTTCATCTCGAGCATGCACAATAGGTAAGTTCCTGTCAATCGGCAATCCTCAGCTGACTCCGCTACGCTCTATTCAAACATACCTTGCCTGGTTCCCAACGGTTTCCGAAAGGACTCGGGAACCAGACTACATGCGTTTTGATGAGTTATCGTTCGTGTTAGGCTGTTTTCCAAGAATAAATATTTATTAAATTACAGACTATAAATTACAGACTATTAATTAGAGAACTATATGAACTGAACAATCTACAAAATATCCAACAGATGAAATCTGTTTAACCAATTCTTAATGAAAAATTATTTATCTTTTTTTTTTTGGATGGCATATTTAAAAAGAATAAAAGTGGTAGGGGGAGGGGGGGGGGTATGATTTGAAGCGATAACTATAAGTAACCATTATCCATAGTGATATATACACATGTCACAAGTGCCGTTTTAACCATGCAAATGTCATTTTCACCAAAGGCCCTTTTTACTAATTATGTGTTGTTTTGCATATTATACAAGGTCACTATATAGTACATGTAGGTGCAGTTTTCACCAAGTGATTAATTGAACAAATTTTTGTTTAAACACCTCATGAGGATGCCGGATTCTATTTAAATTATATGATTAATTAGGAATTTGCAGTTTTCAAGAAGATTTTTAATGATTTTTTTTTTTATTTATTAATTTGCCCACTCTACCCTTTGGGGTCAAAATGTGTACACAAACTTTAATTTACACTACCTGGGCATGCATGCTTTCATTTAAATATGATCAATCATGACTTTGCTTTCATGGGGAGGAAGTTTTTCCTATGAATTTCTCTTTTAAACTTTGATCGCTCACTTATGGCTTATTCCTCACCCGGGATCATGATTGAATGCAATCTACACCTTTTGCAGGTGCTTACATAATTTGAATTCCTTTCACTGAAGGATTGGTTTAAAACTGGCTTAGAACTTTGTTCTTGAGAAAAAAATGCAGAGAATTTGAAAAGTTTATGACGATGGCATTGATAACTTTAGGCAACAAACAAATTTTGATCATAAAAACTCATTTGAATCTTTTGCTCAGGTGAGCTAATAAAAAAAAAATAGGAGCAAGATTTTAGGTTTATTGCTTTACAAAATTCAACACATTTTATGAAAATTGATCAGACAATAGGTAAAAGCTAGAATTAAAAACTAAGAAGCGTTAATAAAAATAAGATATCGGTATATATAAACACTATCATTTGGAATTTTAAAATATGCATGTACATGTATATATGAAAATGGATTGTGAATTCAGTTTTAAATAACTTCAACAGACATATAAGAGTATAAATTATGCAATATGAAAACATTTTTATGATAGAAATGCAAAATTTTCACACAATAAAATTACATGTTTATGTAGATGCGATATATTTTGAAACATGCAAAATGTAACCGAAAACGTATAATTTATTGAAGTTCACTTAACAGTGAATCTTTCCTATATATACGAAAGCGAAAAATGGAAAGATTTCAAAGTGAAAAATATATGTGATTATCAACATACTCTGACTATAAATATGAACTATTATTATAGTTTAAGAACTTTATAGAAATGCATTACTTAATTTGGAATACCTGCAGGAATCAGATTATAACAAAAATCAACTCAAAATTGTAAATTTCAAAAGGAAATAACATCTTTTTGCAATATTGAATTCAATTTTACAGATTAGTCATGAGAAATTGTAGTGATCCACTTTTTCCCCTTTCTTGAATATAAATAAAGAATTGGAATGTTATAAAGAGGTGGGTTTACCTCCCTTTATGGGCTGTCCATTAATCCCCTCTTTTCATACTAAATTACCTGAATATCAGTGTTTAATATATATTTGATTCTCATTAGATGATTGAATCGTAGTCACAAATAAAAAAAATCTCAATCCTGGAGTATATCAATGTAAAAAGAATTTCCAACGAATATGGAGTTAATTAAAATTAGCAATAGAATTCAGAATGAGTTGTCAGTTATTACTCTCTGATTTTACAGGTTGTTTTTCTATTCTACACAAGTAACTAGTAATCTAAGCAAATGTTCAAACTTCTGAATGTTTTAAAATACAGAAATACAATAAACTTAACAACACATCAGAAAAGATAATCAAATGAAAGTAATCATTTAAAAAATATGAAATACACTGTATTCATTTATAAGTTCACTTAATAGTAAATCTTTCCTATAAATAACGAAAGCGAAAATTGGAAAGATTGCAACTGAAGTGAATGATTATCTGATGATCAACAGACTCTGACTTTGAATATCAACTACATGTACTATATTAAAAGAATTTTTCATAAGTAACATTTAATTAGAGTACCTGCAGGAATCAGAGTACCTAAACTTGATGGTAATATTCCAAAATGGAATGATTAAGATTGTTTTTGCAAATTGCAATCAATAATTTTGAATTTAAAGACCAGTCATGAGAAATTATAGTGATCCACCTTTTCCTCTCTTTTGTGGGAAAAATTGTAATGTTATAAAGAGGTAGGTTTACCTCCCTTTACGGGCTGGCCATTGACCCCCTCTTTCTATACTTACCTGGGTATAATTGTTTAATATATAGTTGATTCTCATTAGATTATAATATAATGGTGGTCACATATTAAATATCTCAATGCTGCAGAAAATTAAACATCAATTAATATGGAGTTAACTGAAATCAGCAATATACTAGTAACTTATGAGTTGTCAGTTTCTCTCTGATTATGCAGGTTGCTTCCCTTTTCTACACAGGTAACTAATGCTACTAAAAGTAAATGTTTGAAGCAATTTCTGAATTTTTTGAAATACAAAAATACAATAAACTTAACATTTTAAGTCAAAAAAATCAAAAAGATAAATAATCAAGTCAATATATTATAATACATTTAAGTTTGATATATACCATGAACATTATTTAAAAACAAAATGATGCAAATGATATATATAAAATCTCAAACTGAGCTGTGCTTTCGAAATGTATCAAATTCTAATTCAGCTACAAGTCTAAATAAAATAAAAATAAATAAGTATGCTGGATGGTCATGAGCATTAAACTAATTTCTGAAAGCTTTGTATTAAAACTCATAGATAATGGTTTTAAATATAGTATGTGAACATTTGCAAGTATTTCATTTCCAGGTGCATCTATTGGTTAATTTGTAGACCACCCAGCCTGTTTAAAGCCTCTGCAATTGTGATACATGTATATACAATACTGCATGAGGTTGATTATAAAGTAATTACATAAAGACTTGAATTATATGTATGATAAGAATATTGACATGCACTGCAATTGTTATAACTGGGAATTGCTCGGAAAAAGTATATTAATTCATGTACACTGTAAAAGTTTATACTCTCATGTACTCTAGTACTGTTCTGCAGGGAATAAATGGCAAAATTTAGACAGAAAATATTCGGGGAATTTACTTCATAAAACTATAGAATACAGTATTAAACATATATCAAAGATACCAATTACTTGATGCAAATGTAATACAGTGTATATATTTCTAGTACAACTCTAATCATTATATTTAGCAGAACTGATTATATAATTTCTTTAAATTAAACTTTGTAAACAATTCATGTAATCTTAAAATTTTCCTGTATATTCAAAATACCAAGTTCATGGTATTCATGTATCATTAAAGAATCCAAACAGTAAGGTTAAAACTAACTCACGAACATCAATACAGTATATACATAATTTATAAATATTAACAAATAATACAATGATTATCATTTTTTTGACATGAATAATTGTCATTGATGGTACATAATTTTTCCTTAATATGCAACATTCAATTATTTTGTACATTAATTAATTGTCTGTTGAAAATAAATCCACAATAAAAATTCATAATAAAGGATTCCTGTTTAGACCAATTAATTTGTGATCATTAATAATGCAAATTATTTAGGCTGTTCCATGCCTGCATATTAAAATAGTATCAAGTATACATATGCCTTAAAACAAACAAAATTTTGCATCAAGTAATTGGTGTTTTAAGATACTGTATACAGGGAAATATTCGCCCCGTTTCATTTTTTTCCCCTGTCATCCATCTTAGAGGTAAACAATTTTAAAACAGGGTAAATTAAAAGAACACAGTGTGATTTGTTCAATAAAACTGTGACTGGGGAAAATTTAAAACGTTGCAAAATTGGGAGAAAGGGTGAAAATAACAAATCCAGGGCGAATATAACCCTGTATACAGTAATCAATGTACCAAATGTCACTAAGTGACACTGACACATTGGTAGGTGGGAGAGGGGACAAGATGACGTATCTCCCCCAAATAAGTACTCATGCGTCCCTTATATCATATATAAAATCTCAAACTGAGCTGTGCTTTCGAAATGTATCAAATTCTAATTCAGCTACAAGTCTAAATAAAATAAAAATAAATAAGTATGCTGGATGGTCATGAGCATTAAACTAATTTCTGAAAGCTTTGTATTAAAACTCATAGATAATGGTTTTAAATATAGTATGTGAACATTTGCAAGTATTTCATTTCCAGGTGCATCTATTGGTTAATTTGTAGACCACCCAGCCTGTTTAAAGCCTCTGCAATTGTGATACATGTATATACAATACTGCATGAGGTTGATTATAAAGTAATTACATAAAGACTTGAATTATATGTATGATAAGAATATTGACATGCACTGCAATTGTTATAACTGGGAATTGCTCGGAAAAAGTATATTAATTCATGTACACTGTAAAAGTTTATACTCTCATGTACTCTAGTACTGTTCTGCAGGGAATAAATGGCAAAATTTAGACACAGTACTAACATTAATAAACTTACAATAATAAATTCTATACAGCAATTTTTTCAATTGAACAGAAAATATTCGGGGAATTTACTTCATAAAACTATAGAATACAGTATTAAACATATATCAAAGATACCAATTACTTGATGCAAATGTAATACAGTGTATATATTTCTA